CCACCTGGGGGAGCTCAGGGCTGTGGGGCTGGCAGCAGTGAAGAGTGCGGTGCCACGCAGCGCGCAGCTGCCCGTGCTGGCGGTGCTGCGGGCGCTGCTGCCAGGGCTGCCCGCGTCAACCTGGCGGTGCAGGATGACAATGTCCTGCGCCACCACGGTGTGCTGGAGGCAGCGGTGCATGCGGGGTGGGAGGGTGGGGGAGCATGGGCACCAGTCAGCATTCAGGCGCATGGCAAGGAGGCGAGGCATGCAGTCAGCAGGGGCCTGAGGCTGCGCAGGCGATGCTGGCGGCAAGGGGGCCGGGATGGTCAGTCACATTGTACAGGTGGCGCAGCCAGGGCTGCCAGTGGAACAGCTTGGCCGGGCCCCTGCAGCATGGCAGCAGAGGGGGAAGCCGTGTGCTCTCTAGGCACGGCACGCCCGCGCCAAGCCACCAGGCGGCGGGCGCGAGGCCGCGCGCTGCGGCGGCTGGCAGGCTGCACCTGAACTTGGGGCTGGTGGCCAGCGGCAGGCTCATCAGGCGGCTCCTCCCCGGAGCAGACGGCACCACAAAGTACAGCAGCGCCAGCTCGCCGTCCGGGGCCATTCCCTCACTGCTGGCCCTGCATCCATGCCAGCAGGCGGCTGCGGGTGGGATGGATGCGACAGCGGCGGCAGGGTAGGGGGCAGCCAAAACCGTCCTCTCACCACAGCATGCAGGGCGGCTTCAGGACCAGGTTTCGGAAGGTGGAATGCTTGGCATCGTCGCACACAAAGCGGTACACGCCCTGCTCATCCTGCACCAGAGGGAGGGCAGCGGCGCGGGTGGCGGCGAACGGCACCAACAGGCTGCCGCCGGCAGCAAGAAGCAGCTGCAGACGGCGGCGGGGCGGCAAGGGGAGCCCGCAGCGGCTCCCCACCTGCTCCAGCAGCCGCACGCTGATGGGGCCCGCCTTGTCCGGCGAACCGATGTAGCCCGCATGGGTGAAGTGCACATGCCCTGCGGAGTGTGCGGCACAGCAAGCAAGGCAGCGGCACAGTGAGGCGAGATGCTCCGCCGCCGCCTCGCACCTTTGCTCGCGACGACGTGCCGGCAGCTCCCCCTCAAGGAGGGAGATGCGCAGCGCAGCTAGCGGCCACACCGCGGCTGCATTGCAGCCGCCCACCGGGGTCGCAGCTGTTCTCCAGCAGCGGCAGGTAGTCGCACTCCAGGTCCCGCACATACCTGCGCCGCCCGCCGCCAAACCAAGAGGCCTCCTAACAACACCAGCACTGGCAGACGCTGGGCACCAGACACGCAGCAGCCCATGGCGGCCTCCAAAGCAGGCAACGCGAAGCGCGCTGCTGCGGCAGCGGCGGCCGCCAGCGCAGGCCGGCAGCTCTCACCAGGTGGACACGGGGAACCACTCCTTGCCGGTGTGGTCGGTGGCGGGCAGCACGGGCAGCGGCGTGGCCTCCGCCTGGGAGCGCGCCTCCGGCCCCGCCTCCAGCCACACCCACAGCAGGCCGTGCGCGTGCGCGGTGGGGAAGCTTGCGGCGCACGAGCGCTTGCTGGCGCAGGCGGTGGCCTTGGGGGCGCCGGGCTCGCTCTGCGGGATCTCCCGCGCCGCGCCGCTGCCACCAAACTGCCAGCCGTGCTGCAGGGCAGGGCCACGGGGGAGACGTGGATTCGGGCAGCGGCATGCCGGCATGGCCACTGGGTTGGGGCTGGGACGGGCGATGCTGCTTCCGTGCTGAGCTGCCATTCTCGACTCACATAGGCACACTCCAGGTTCTTAGTGACCGGGTGGATCCTGCCCTCTGCAGCAGCGGCAACAGAATGAACACATGCGGCTGCTGTTCTGTCGCATCACAGCGCAATGCGCGAGCCGCCTCTCCACCAACCGGCTGGCGGCCCCCCCGGCTTGCCTGATAGCGGGGCGGCGCGGTGCGGGCAGCTGTCTTGGAAGCAGCGCCACTGGCCGTCGGCATCACGCCACACCACAAGGCTGTGGCCCAGCAGGGTGGCCTGGTGCGGGCGGGCGGGGTCCAGGTAGTCCAACGCAGTCTGCGGGGCAACAAGGGGCAGGCGGGGTGTGCAGGTCCAGCCTGGTGGGCAGGCTGGTGGGACAGAGGAGGAGGGAGTGGATCGACGCGGCACGCAGCGAGGGCTGCCTGCCAAGCTGCCGCTCACCACAGGGTACCAGCTCTGGGTCCACACAAACCGGTGGCCATTCAGGGCCGGTTCCACACGCAGGTCGGGAGCGGCAACAATGGTGGCCGCTGCCGGCGCCGCCGCTGCCGGGCTCGGGGAGGCTTGCGCAGCCGCCAGCAGACGGCATGAGGGGCTGCTGCGGCTCGGATGGGCCTGCACGAAAAGCATTGATGAGTGCAACATCAAGCGGACGCATGGATACTTCGTAAGTAGTGGCGGCGAAGTGGCAGCAGCGGCGGCGGCGGCGGCTGCGGCTGGTGACAAGGGTGCGACCGGCATGCCCTTGGACGGGGTCGGCAGCGTCCCTGCAACCGATGTCGGCCAACAGCGGCCCAAAACGCCGCTGCAAGCCCTGCTATAGCAACCCTCCGCCCCCACCTTGGGTGCCCAGAGACCAGCTCTCGGCCTGCGAGATGTCAGCTGGCAGGATACCACTTCGTGGCTGTTGCACAGCAAATCGGGCGGCATGAGGGCGCGTGCCAACAAGCAGCAGAAGAGATGGGTTGTGACGGGGTGACCAGTGGGGGCCCACACTCCCGCGCTCCTCTGCAGCAGCTCTGAGATCAACCCCAGTGCCGTGCGATCGTGGAACGCGAGAGAGATGAGCGAGAGGAAGGCACGACAGGAGGAAGCTGTCCGCGTGGGATCTTCACTTGCGCCGCTCAGCACAGGCCTTCTATCCTCAATTGTGGATCTATATCAAGCATGGAAATCTAGGATGCGCTATGGGACGGCGAAGAGGCATGCCGTGTGGATCGGATGGAGCGGCGCTGGCGCTGGCGCCGGCGCCCAGCTCATGGCAGCTCTGGCCAACGCTTTACAGGGCCCTCCACCAGCAAAAAACTGCTAGCAGCGCAAGCACAAATCCATTGGCAAATCTCATAAGCAGTCCGGATCAAATGAATCAAAAACACACAATGAACGCTGCCTGGCAAACTGTGCTTGCAACGCGCGACCTCAACGGCGCAGCCCCTCTATGGCGATCCACTCGTGCATCCAGGCCGGGCTGAAGCATTTTACGTAATGGTTGCCCGAGAAGCGGCCTGGGCCGCGGTCGTAGGCTGGCAGCTGGCCGGTGGGCGTGGACAGGCTGGGCGCGGTGACCTCCAGGGTGGCCACGCTGCCTGCAGGCGCACACAAGGCAGTGCAGCAGCATGGGTGCAAGCGGATGCGGGAGCGTCGGGGCGTTTGCTGAGATGGGCACGTGAGCAGTGTTGCAGTGGCAGCGGCAGCCACCAAGCTGCCGGAGTCGCACCTGGCGCCGGCTCGAACTTGAGCGGCCCGTTGATCCAGTCCAGTGGCGTCTTCATCTCAGGGGTCACATCCCTGCGGGCACCCCAGGCGCCCAAAGGGCAGCTCATGTCTCGGACTGGAGACTCAACAGCCCTGCGGTGCAGGCGCCTGCTAGGGGCCCGCTACCAACAAGGAGGCATGCCTGCAAGCAGCCAGGCCGCTCCTGCTTGCCTGTCGGGCGCGAAGCGCAGCTGCTTGCCGCGCTTGCGATACGTCTCCAGGAACAGCGGCGGCGCCTCCGCCAGCGCCTGCTGCAGCGTGGCCTCGTTCGCCTCGGCGGCGCTCACCACAGCATCGCTGCCGCCCTCTAGCCCCATGGCCTGCACAGCAGCGTCAGGGAGCAACTCTGCTGGTCGCCAGCTGGCAGGCGCCCCCCGCGGATGTCCCGCGGCCGGCGGCACTGCCACACACATGCACAGGGCCTGTCCGCACACTCCCATGGGACTGCCGACTCACCCGCGCCACCGCCTCTCCTTTCTTCAGCTTCAGGGAGTAGACAGGCGACATGGGCTGGCGCATGCTCTCCATGCCCGGCTGGTAGTAGTCCCAGTGAGGGTGCACGGTGCAGTGCACCACCCACTCGTCGCCTGGGGGCAGGGGGCAGGCACGGCAGCCAGGCCCGCAGTCAGGTGCACCGCTTCTGTGCGTGGCTGGATCCGCCACGCAGCGCGCCATGGCATGCTGCACTGCTCACTGCTCCCAAGGCGCTGCGGGATGCGCAGCCAGCCGCTGCAGACACGCACCTGTCTTGAACACCATGGGCTGGGAATAGATGAAGGGCTCCAGCCGAGGGTGCACAGTCACCGCCACCCGCACGCTTTTGGCGGCGCCGGCCGACATCCCCGCCGCCAGCATGCGCCGCTGCACATCGCGCGCAAAGCGCTCCGCCGCCGCCAGCTCTCCAGGGTGCATCAGGCTGCCGTGCATGGCATTCATCAGCGGCAGCCGCTCGTTACCAAAAGCATAGGCCGCCGCCTCGCCGGCCTGCACGGCCTGCCCCGCCAGCACGGCGGCGGGAGAGCCGCGGCCGGCAGCCAGCGACAGGGGCGTCAGCAGCTCGAAGCTGGTGCGGGTGGCCTCCAGCAGCTGGTCCACAGCCTGCTCACAGGCCTCGGGCGCCGTCGCTGGGTGGTTGGCAGCAATGAAAGCCGCCATCAGGCCCGCCACCGCCTCTGCACAGCACACGTCAAGGAAAGGCGGCGTTTGAATCAGCTCAGACACGGTTTGGGCCTGGCTGTTCCTAAGGCGCAGCCAGCTGGAAAGAGAGGGCAGGAGCAGCTCGCGATAGCAGCGGCAGCCGCCAGCAGGAGCTCCTGGCACGCTCACCCGCCTGCCTCTCAATGGGGGCATCAGAGGGAATGTCGCCACGCTGCACGTTGACCACTCCTGCAGTCCACATGGGCAGAGACGAAACACATTGCGGCCGTCCAGCTTTGGCGGCCAGGCAGGTGCACGCAGCGCACTGCGTGAGCATGGCGACCCATCCAGGGCGCACGCACGGGCTCACCGTTGCTGAACTGAGCGTGGTTGCAGCCTGGGATGATGGCAAATGGCCGCGTCTGTGCAAAGCGCCTGCAGCAGTGTAGCAGGCAAACAGCAGGTCAAGCCAGGCAGCAGGGTGGGTCCACTGAAGGCCACCTACCGATCATGTCAGCTGCACGGCCACAGGGCAGGGCCCACCCACCTGGCGCCAAACTGCGCCGCCAGCGGCGCGGCGGCGGCGGCGGCCCAGGCCGCGCGCGGCATGCGCAGCTGGCCGTCCAGCTGGCCGAAGATGTGCATGAGGGGGCGCGGCGCGTTGGCGACGCCGGCGGCGCTGCACACCGTGCCGTCCAGCGCGGCGGCCAGCATGATGCCGCCAGCGCAGTTCTTCATGGGGGCGGAGCCGTAGCAGCGAGCCGCCGCGCTGTGCATCGACACAAACACGTTCTCCATGCGGCCTGCAGGGAAGGGCGGCGCGCGCCAGGGTGCATGGGCGGCACGTGTCGGGGTGCAGCTGGCTGGCAGGGCGCAAGGCAGGACATGAGGGCTCCCCCGAGGGAGCAGCGGCAGCCTGCCACGGCAGGCAGCATGCCACGGCAGGCAGCTTGCCATGCGCGTGCCCTGCAGCGGGAAGCCGGCGTCGCAGGCCGCCTTCACGGCCTTCTGGAGCTGGGCGTCCGAGTACTCTGCCCACTTGTCCATCGCATCAAATCCGAGGGCCATCAACTCAAGCCAGTTGATGGGCGGCATGGCCACCCAAAGGTCGATGCCCACATCCTGCGCCTGTGACAAGTGGTGGCGCCCGCGGTGGCCGGCGGGTCAAGGAGGGTCTGTTGCGAGGCAATGGCGCCGGCTTGTCGGCCTGCCAGTCCATCCTGGGACTTGGCAGCGTGGAAGCGCTACCTTGAGAGCCTTAAGAAGCTCGGCGTAGTCCTTCGGGAACATCATCGCGCCGGAAAGTAGCACCAGCAGTGCCGCTGGCTTGCCGCCGTTCACCGCTGCCGGCGCTGCACACGGGCAGGCAACAGGATTGCGGTGCGGCATCGGACCCGATCGAAAACCACTTCAATCGATCGCCGCTAGGCCTCTGCAGCCCTGTTCGATAGCGCAGCGCACCTTGCAACAAAACGGGTTCGGTGGGGAGTGGCGGAGGCATGGCACCGCCGGGAAAGCCCACCCCCGGCGGCGGACCCGCTCCTGGGTGCCCTGGCGGGCCTACCGGCATGGAAGGCCGCATGTGGCGATCGCCCGCGAGCCGTGCAGTGGTTCAAGGTTTGTTTCTAGCTACCGCTGAAAGTGAGAGGGTTCTCGGCTTTCGCTCGAAGCGTCTGATACAACGGCAAGAAGAAGAATGACAACTGCAAGCCAAGCCGATCATGCCAATATGAACGGTGTGTCAGCGGCGGGCGCCGGCGCCCTGCTGCACGCCATTTCCTGGCCATCCATGCCTGCCCTGGAGTGCTTGCAGCTGTGACCATCTCGGTGAAGAGGCATTACAACGCATTGCAACAAATTGCAGTGTTTCGAGGACAAGGGGCTGCCTTCCACCCTGGTGCGGGCGGGCGGGGCCCCTCATCGCAGCACGGCCAGTAGCTGCTCTGTCAGCTCGAGCAAGTCTTCATCGCTGCCTGGCGGCCCAATGAGGCCCAGACCCACCGGCAGCCCCTCCACATCCGCAATCGGCACGTTGACCTGCAAAGGGCACGGCAACACGGCGTCATGCGTCGAGCTCCTGCGTCGTGCGTCAAGCTCCTGGCGGCACACCATCATGGACAGCGGAGCTGGCAGGCAGGCTCGACCCCACCTGCGGGAACCCGGACAGGCCAGCAATACAGGTCAAGGATATGAGCGACGTCCTGAAGGCGTCCAGCTGATCCGAGGGCGTGTTGAGCAGCGGCGCAGGCGCAGGCGCGGTGGGCAGCATCAGCACGCCGTCGCCGCCCAGCAGCTCTGCTAGCCGCTGCCGCGCCGCGCCGCGCTGCTGCGCCGCCTCCTCATACTGCTTCCGGCTGACGCCTTCAGCCATTTGGAAGCGCTCTCGGATGCCGGGCCCAAAGTTCGGCCGGTGTTCTGTCACCCACGCGCCGTGCTGCTGCCAAATCTGCAGCGCCAAGCAAGAGCCATGGGTGAAGCGAAGGCGTGGCAGGGCAGGTACTTGCTCACGACAGGGATGCCAGGCAGATGTGCTGCCAGCCAGCGCACCATCACGCACCTCATGCGCCTGGTGCACGCGGAACGCGTTGAACCAGGCCTGGCTCAGCCCGCCCGTGCTGCTGCCTACCTCCACCTCCTGCGGCTTGCTGAGCAGGGCAGCCACCTGCGGTAGTTCAGCGTGCATCAGCCGCAGACATGCAGTGACGGCCTGCTGCTGTACAGCAGCCTGTCTCCCCCAGGGGACCGCCATACACACCCACACCACACCACCCCACACACACCACACCACACAACGCCACACACCTGGTCTATCTTGGGCGACAGCGCGTCATACAGCGCCTTGGTTGTGGCCTCCTCTGCCAGCCCAAAGGCATCGGCTGCCACCAGCAGGCGCCGCAGCTGCGCCGGACGCCGGCTGCCGCCGTCCAGCAGCACGCCGCCCACCGCGCGGAGCACGCCCGCATCCCTCGCAAACCAGCCGCCAGTGTCAAAGCTGGGGGCTAGCGGCACGGCGCCCTGCAGCGATACCCGCCCTGCAAGCGGGGCTGGGGCTCCCCTCACAACCGCTTTGCATAGACGACCAGATGGCAAACAACTGAGCAGTGCTATCCTAGAGCAGCAGCTGCGAAGCCGCAACAGCAGCAGCAGCCCCGGAACAACACCAAACAAAGTGCGCACCATGCGTGGGTCGGATACCCAGGATGCCGCAGTGGCAGGCGGGCACACGCACCGAGCCGCCCGTGTCTCCACCCAGCCCCAGGTCTGCATCCCCTGCCGCCACCGCCGCCGCCGTGCCGGACGAGGAGCCGCCGGGAATGCGCCCCGGTGCTGCCGGATTGGCGGGGGTGCCGTAGTGCGCATTCTCGCCCGCCAGGCTGTACGCCATCTCATCCATGACATTCGTTCCAATTATGGTCGCCCCAGCGTCCAGCAGCGCCTGCATGACACGCCCTAGGGCGCAAACCATTGGCGGGGGCTGGCGGGGAGTGATGCCCCACCACAGGACGCATGCGCGCCGCGGGGGGCCGCCACCCGCGCCCTCCCACCTGGACGGCGGCGGCGTTGCGCTGCGCGGGCGGGTGCGTCTCCAGCCATGCGGGGCTGCCGTTGGAGGTGCGATGCCCTGCCACATCAAAACAGTCCTTCACCACCGCGGTCAGGCCTGTAAGGGGGCCGCTGGGCGCCCCCACCACATGCACCTCCCCGATGTAGCACCCCTGGCTGTGCAGCTCCGCGTGGGTGGCCATGCCTCTGACGCCGCCTCTGCCGCTGGGGTGGCTGCTGCTGCTGCGGACTGCGACAGGCGGCAGGCAGCACGAAGCAGGCGGGTGGCCCAAACGCAGGCGGAAGCAGGCGCCGGCGGCGGCGACGGCGGCGACGGCAGCCCAAGGGTATGATCGGCAGCGTACATCAATGCCAGTTGTGCTCTGTGGGTTCCATGCAAACGCACCCGCTAGGTGCGCCGCGCTCAGGAATGGAAGCGGATGCCGATCGCCCGTCACTGCTTTTGCTCCCCTCACTAGCAGCCTCTGGGAGATCATGATAATTGACATGACATCGAATTCAGGGGAATGAGACAGAGCGGGAACGTTGGATATTTTGGCTTTCTTGAGTGGCCCTCGCCCTCATCTGGGCCGAAACAGAGGGTGTCAGCGCGCCTCCAGTGTTGTGGAGGGCAACACCATGATGCAACAACTTGCCCAGCGCCACAGCTTCGTTGCCACCCCTCTGCCCGTTCGGGCGGCGGCGGTGAGCAGGTGCGCCCCTGCTGCTGTCCCCACAGCACAAATGCAGCATTGCCGCACCGACAGCGCCACCCCAGGCGGGCTGCTGCATTCTCCCACCGCCGCCCCGCCGCCGCCGCCGTCGCCACCGGCGCCTGCCGTCTCACGCTTCCACACCCATGTTCCCGTCTTCAGGCGGGCGGCGGGTGCGCATCGGGTGTCTGCGCTGTTTGGCTTCGGCAAGGGCAGCAGCGAGAAGTCGGAGAAGGAGCTGGAGAAGGAGGAGCAGTTCCGCAAGCAGCAGGAGGTGCTGGCGCGCCGGCGCACCAACTCGTGGCAGGCTGAGGTGGTGGATCGGCGCAAGGAGGTCAGCAAGTACCTGCAGAATCCGGAGTACCGCAAGCAGGTGGACGCGGAGAAGCGGGCACGGTTCAAGGCCAAGAAGGAGCAGGAGGTGGGTCGGTTGGGGTGGGTGGTGGTGGCAAGGGGCGTGATTGGTGGGTTGCCGGCTAAATGCACGGGGTGGCATGTGGGAGTGAAGAGCTGGGGGCTCGGAGGGTGGCAGGAAGGCGCAGCAGATTCTATGGTGCCTGTTGTGTCTGCCAGGCCGCCCGGCAGCTTCGCCGTGCCCAGGACCACCTGCACTGGGCCCCATCCTCGCCCTGCCTCGACGTTGTTGGCCTCGCCTGCCTGTTGGTAGCCCTCACCGTGGTCGCCTCGCCTGTCTGCTCCCATTCTCTGCAGGAGAAGGAGAATCCCATCCCCAAGTTTGGGATCATCGTGCCCCTGGCGCCCTTTGGCATGCCGGATTATGATGAGACCGAGCGGTTTGATCTGCGGGTGGGTCCCAGGCGCCTGCGACTCTCCAGACTGTGGGTGGCCTGGCCTGCCTCCCAACCCGCAACCTGCTGCTCCGCCTGCTGCTGCCCTGCATGCTCGTGCCCATCCCATGTGTACCGCCTGTTGTACCGCCCGCTGCAGCTGCCCTTTGTGGACTTTGGCGACCCGGATCCGGAGCTGGAGAACGACCCTCTGGGCCTCAAGCAGCTGGGCAAGGCCTTTGGCTTCGGCAAGAAGAAGGAGGGAAAGTGAAGTGGCAAGGCCCCCACAGCGGAGGAAGGGGCAGCTTATTGCTGGTGCTGCCGAGCTGAGCTGGATTCGTGTGTGCAGCCGGGGCCCGTGCTCCCCCGCCCGGCTGAACACTGGCAGCAGTTTTACCCAAGCGCTGCTCGTTGTTTTGTGCCTCCTCAGTTTATCGAATGTACTGTACTGCATTTTCATATTTGAAGTTATCTAATCTATCGGCATCTAATGTACTTCGTTGTCCTTCTCCCTCCCTCTCAACACGCCTCACCAGCGCAAGATACAGAAATTACACTAGCGGGCACTTCAGGGCACCTGACACCCTCAAAACACAGCACCAGCCCCCTGACGTTGTTGTCTCAAGTGTAGCAGCGACGCCTGCCCTCCCGGCAGCGCCGGCGCGTGCTCGCTGCCTGGCGCTGCCTCAATTTGATGCTCCTCTGACGACGAGCACCGTAGCTGGGGGCGCTGCGGCAGGTCCAGCACCCCTGTGGGCGTGTCTGAGGCCGGCGCATCCTGCCGCTGCTCCTCCTTGGCCGCCGCCAATGCTGTTCCCGCAACAGGTGGCTCGGCCTGCTGTTGTGGTGCTGCTGCCGCGCCTGCCTGCTGCTCAGCCAGACACCCACTTGTGCGGTAACTATTGGCAATATCTTGGCCGTGCCGTCTCAGCATCTCCTCAGCTGATGCTGCCTGCAAGCAGCAATTACAAGCCAGGCACGGGTGCAGCACAATGAACATCAGGCAGGCAAGCATCTTGCGAGGCAAGAGCAGGATTCACGCCGGCAGTCCAGCCAGCGCATGCAGAGTTTCCTGAGCCTGCCCTCAGTCCCATTCAACACGCATCCCTCATGCAGCTCTCCCACGCTCCCATACCACCACCACGAGCCCTCAAGCTCACCAGCTCTAGCTGCTTGTGGCGGGCCACACACAGGTCGGTTGCCGGCACGCCCCGCATCTCCTCAACCACCCGCGCAGGCAGCTCTATGCCTGCAAGCTCCACAATCCTGATTGAGCGCCGCTCAAGTTCCGCACTCAGCTCCTCCTGCGCTGCTGCACCCTGACGCGGTAGAACCTGGCCCGGGCCGCGCACGAGGCAGCTACCCGCCTGTGTGCGCACTTGCTGCCTGCGCAGCACGCTGCCCGGGCAGCGGCCACCTGCCATTAACGAGATTCGTCCTCCAGGCAAGTGGCACAGAACTGCATGGCAGTAAATTGAATGGCGTGAAGCCGTGGTGAAGCGTGGGGCCGCCGCGCCGCCGCTACTTCTCGGCGGCGACGCATGGTGCCAGCAACGGTTTCACCTCGCCCTCCTCTATGCCGAGCCGCAGATCTTGAATGCGCAGCTGGCGAACGCGCTCTTGGTCCCTCTCCTCGGCAGGCTTGAACCTCTCCTCGTTGAACTCACGCCGCACACGCAAACTCAGCTCCCTGTGCTGCCTGGTGCCTGGTGCCGGGTGGAAGCCAAGCACCCCGCGCAGGGCGAAGCACGCGTCGGCGAGCCAGTCGAGCCAATCCATGCCCCAGCACCCTGAGCACCGAATTTAAGTCTGGAGAGACGTGTCTGCAGTCAGGAGAGGCATGTGGGCAACGGGTGGAAGAGACATGCCCTGAGCTGGCAGGGCGGGACGGAACGCTTCCCCCCCAGCACATGCCAGGTTTGGAAATTGGCTGTGCAGCTGTTCTCTGCCTGCGCTTGATCCAGTTTCCCTAGCAACCATCCTGGAATGTTCAGCAGCATGTGAAAACCACAACCCACAGGGACACCAAGCGCGTCATCAGCTCTCACGCCGCAGGTGCAATCAACACAGCAAGGCGTCTGCCTGCCTCCCCCGTTGCCCCTGCTTGCCCAACGCACTGCTGGTGCACAAGCCGCGGCAGGCAGCAGCCGGCCAATACATCAGCTGTAAACACAGCAGGTCAGGGCATTCAGGGAGGAAAGAATGCAAGCACAGCGTTGGGTTGGTTCTGATAGATGAGGCAGAGCGAGTGCACAAACACGGGTAGGGGCTCAGTTGCATGTTCTACGGTATGGGTTTGTATAGGTACATGGCATCCTAGGGCAATACTGGTGCGACGGCGGAGGTCGTGGCGCAAACAAAAGGCCTGGATTGGTTGGATTTGCAGTGCAAAAGTGCGGCCCAAACAGCAACGGCGGTCAGAACAGGTATGCCATCAGCCCGCTGCCGCTGGCATTGTGGCCTTTGTCAGAAAAGAACAGCACCGCAGCCACGCCGGCCACAGCTTGCAGCACGCCCAGTACGATGAGCGCCCACGCATTCCACTGCCAGTAGCCCTGCAGCAGCAGCATGCATGGTGGTTGAGGCACGTTGGGGTGAGGCAACAGCGTGTCATGGCAGCGGCACACCAGGTCGAGGCGGCACGGACCTGCAGAGACAAGCCCTGCAACACAACTTGCCTGCGAGGCCATCACCACAGGGTCCCTCCCCTTGAGCGCCTTCAAGGCCACCAGGGCCGGGAAGATGAACGCAATCAGCGCTCCTGCGTCCAGGCACATAAGAACCGGGGCGGCCAGGCGCCGGAGAACAAGGAGGGACAAGGAGGCTCCTTGCCAGGCTCACACAGGTGACGCGAGCAGCAGCAGCACGGGCCAGCGTGGCCCATTCCCTCCACCACCACCGACTCCACCCACCCGCGGTGGCGCCCACAAACTGGATAGGCACCCAGATGCTGCCGCTGTGCATGGCTATGAGGTAGAAGAGGGCCAGGGAGAGGTAGGTAACCAGGTAGTTGGGAGCGCCCTGCAGCTCCCGCCCCGCCAGCAGCCGCGACAGGCTCTCCCGGTACGGAGCCATCTGCGGCACAGAGCGGCGGGGGTGGCGGAGGAGGGAGGGTGGCTGGATGCAGAGGCACAGCCCGCAGCGGGACACAGCATTCCGCAAGCGCAGGTGTGCAGGTCTCTGTCCCTGGGCCTGTCAACCATGAGTCAAGTGCGTGTGTACCAGGCCGGCGCAGCGCTTGCTTGCCTGGGAGGGGGCGATGGTGATGACGGACAGCAGGAAGCCGAGGCGCACGAGGATGTAGAAGGCGCGGCCGCAGGCGGCGCCCACCAGCGGCTCCAGGTTCTTGGCGTTGAACAGGGTGAGCACGTCGGCGGGGATGGAGGGCCCAAAGGCAACCTGGGAACCAACGGCGACTGACAAAAAGAAGAGGGTGCAGATGGTGATGGCGGCAGCCTGCGTGCCGGAGAGGGTGGCGGCGGACAGCGCGTGATTAATCACTTGGGCAGGCGGAAGGCGGCAGTGCACTGGGAGATGAGTGGTGGATGGGCGCAAGGCTGTGTTTCCCAAGGACGCGTCACAGGCGCAGATCCCACTCGGGCTTCTCGTGCCTAAGGCTGGGCACAAGAAAGTACACTTGGAGGCCGCGACATGCAGCCATGGCGCATCACATGCAGCTGGCTGCCCTCCCAGGTGGCCACTCTCACCGACATCACAGTCACGCGGCGCTCGGTGAAGGGCTTGAGATCCCTCATGATGTGGTGGATGGTCATCTGGCAGGTGTAGGCTGTGCCCAGCACCGGCAGCACAGCCACGATCTGGGTCACCTCCTGCACAGGCGGGGCAGGTGAAAGGCAACCTCAGAAGCGCAAAGGAAGAGCATACCCCATGCGCCAGTTGCTGGCCCGCGTTTTTTGTTGCAGGCCCGCTGCGGAGCAGGCACGCGCAGCCACGCGCACACCTGCAGCATACCGCCGCTGAAGGCATCGGGATCGGGCAGCCAGAAGACTGTGAACGCCTTGCCCTGCACCGCCGCTGCCCCCACCAGCGCCGCCGTCACCACAACCCACGTCCCCACCGCCACCATGCCGATCCAGCTGCAGCAGGTGGCAGGGATGGAGATACGGCGGTCGAATCTCTGAGCAGCACCACGGAGGGGCTCGGCAGAAGGAGGTGGAGGTTGCAGGCAGCCCGGAGCATCCAACTGGCCAACACTTACTTTCCCACTCAACACATGCCTCTGCATTGTGTGTCGCGAGGGTCCCCTACCCAGCCAGCCGCCCACCTGGTGATGACTGTGGAGGAGAGGCGCTTGGGCGTGACGAGCGGCGCGATGCACAGCGCTGCCACCGTGCCCGCCGCCAGCTGGCGGTTGCCGCACCAGCCGCTGCCGTCGGCGCCCAGCAGGTCGCACACCAGGCCCGGGGAGCCGGGGTGCCCCGCCAGCACGTCTGCTGAGATGATGATCTGCGAGCAAAAGAGGGCGTGGTCGAGAACGTAGCTGTCCATCCTGACCCTCTCCTGACATGTGAAGAGGGGGGCTGGCAGGCTGGTAGTGAACACGGGCGGCACAAGGAGGGACAGGATGGGCGGTCGGTGCCTGCCACGCTGCCTCGCTCACATAAATGATCATGAGGCCGGCGCAGCGGCAGACCAGGGAGAGCAGCAGGAGCAGCGAGCCGGGCTTGCCGCACAGCACGCGCACAACCTCTGGGTAGCTCATGTGGCCTGCACCAGAGCAGGCAGGCGGAGCAGGCCGAGGACCGGTGGGAGGCGTGGAGACCAGGGCTGGCGACGCGGCTTCATTTTTCTCCCACCTGTCACCACGGTGCCCAGCGCCAGGGACTGGTTTGTGAAGTGTGTCATGTAGGCCACAAGCAGCAGAAAGGCGCCCGCGGTCAGCAGGCCCAGCATCTCAAAGGCGTGCGGCAGCGCCGCCATGCCCGCCCCCATGATCGTCTTCGCCAGGATGATCACGCTGACGAGGATGCTGCTGCCTGCGGCGTGGGCGACGCAGCGTTGCAGGCACTGCGGGTGGGCCAGGCAGGTGCGGGCGGGAGCGCGCCAGGCCCCAAAGGGGCAGCCACGGCAGCGTTCCGGCCCAGCACCCAGCTGCATACCATCCTCATGAACTCGCTGCCTCAACCCACCGGGTGTGGTGGAAGGCGAGTCCTCCAGCGAGATGACGGGCAGGGTGCCAGGGCCATCCTCGCGCGGCGGCAGCCCTAGCCGCGAGAGGCGTGACGGCGGCTTGCTAGTCGGAGTGTTGCCCTCGACCAGCAGCGGCTGCGTGGGGTCATACTCCTCGCTGCCCGCCAAGGACGCATCGGAGAGTGTCCTAAAGCTGTCTATGAGCCGATGTGAGCGGACCTCCATGTTGACAGCCCTCACTGCTGGCTCCCCTGCTGCCCTACCTGCACCAACACACTGGAGCTGAGCCGCTGCTGCGTTGCCAGAAGTTAGGCGGGCCCAAGGCCAAACTGGCGCCATGAGCTGGCAGCAGGCGCAGCAGCAGCCAGAATGCACATGAAACCTCACCCATTCTGGCCTCCGCAATCGTCACAAACTCCCAGATAGTTGTTGCGGTCATAAAATCGAGCCATGGCCATGCGTGCGGCAATCCTACACACCCCCAAGCTTGCAGCGCCCGTTTCCCGGCCTCGGCGGCTGTCCATTCGTGCCTCCACCATGTGGTACCTCTCCCCGGGCAAGTTGCGGTCGGAACTGGCGTGCCGGGGGCTGGGTTGGGGATTTGCAGACGGGCAACGCCGGCGGCGGTGCTGTGTCAGCATCGCGACAAGGCGCCGACTCCTCGAGGCCTCGGCTGCCTTTTCTGCAGATCCTAAATGGTGCAAGCAGAATGAGAAGCTTTGCAAGCTGCTGGGCCAAGTGGAGCTCACGGGCCCCATCGGCAGGTGCGGCAGCCGCCAGCCCTGGCATCCCTGGACCTGCAGTTTGCCCCACCACTCATGCGAGCTCGCCCTGTCCCACGCAGCAAGCGCATGTGCTCCATCGCCTCCCACGACTACAAGTCCGAGGAGGCGCAGGACCTGTGCATCGTTGAGCACGGCGGCATCCACCTGGTGTTTGACGCAGAGGGCTCCAGCAACCCGCTGGACTCCCCCTCCCTCCTCTACGTCACGGTGCGATGGGGCGTGCGGCGCAGCTGACCCAGCTGCTGACCAGGCTGCTGAACTAGCGACCAGCAGCAGCCGATTGGGCATGTTCCCCGCTTGATGCGCTGCTTGGAGCCCCGCTCGGCAGGCCCTGGGAACCTGTGCCAGTTTGCCGATCGGGTGTATGCTCCCTGCTCGCCGCCCCAAACAGGACCTGGACTCCGAGTGCGACGTGATGGTCAACGGCAAGAAGCTGGACAAGGGCGAGCGCACGCCCGTCAAGCCCGGCTCTGTCATCGCCATGGGCGAGGAGGCACAGTACCAGGTGCAGCGCAACGTGTTTGCCCACGCCTGATGAGGTGGAGGCGCATCCTATCGCCTGTCAGTCTCCAGGTCAGACCCGCCAGGAGAGTCATGTCAGCACACGCTGCCGAGTCGATCCCGAGATTGATCTGTGCTTTATCGATCCATCATCCAATCAGCCTGCTGCGGCGTGAATCAGAGCCGCAGCTCATCTTTCATTTTTTGCAGTTTTGCTTTCATCACAGAGGAGTGCAGGCAAAGAGATAAGTGTTCAACACCAGCATTGTGAGTAAGAGTTGTAAATCGAGTGTGATCACAGGCAAAACGGGCCAACGCAACAGAGGTCTCTAGGTGGTGGGTGGGTGTCAAGTTGGAAGTTTGTCACTGGTTCAGTGTTCTGCCTACAAAGTTTCTGGTGGGGTCATTCCGGAATGGGTTGCCGTCTTGCTAGCTGCTTCCTAGATGCTGCTGTTCCGCCTCAGGCCGCCATGCGGTCGGTCTGGAGGCCACGGTTTGCTGCCACATGCCGGGTTGGGCGCAGCTTCGCCACACCCTCTGCCATGCCGCTCTTGATCACGCGAGCGGCACGCTGCAGCAGGCCAGCGCTTCCGGCGGCCAGCGGCGCCGCCTCCACATCCAAGCTGCCCTTGCTGGCAGCCGTTGCCACTGCCAGTTTGCGGCTGGCGGCACCACCACGTTCTGCCTTTTGGGGCGAGCGTGCGGTGGGGCTGGCGCCCTTGGTTGGCGATGCCCGCTTCTGCACCCCGCCCTTCTGTGGGCTGCTCAGCTTGGCTGCCGCTGCGGCTGCCGGGCGGGGGGCGCTGGCAGCACGAGCTGTCGCCTTGCTGGGTGACCCGCCAGCCTGGGGTGCTGCCTGCTGCGTGCCAGGCCGCTGCTCCTCGGCCGCCGCAGCCTGCGCCACCTGCTGCGGGGTCGCCACCTTGGCAGCCTCCCAGGCCGCCGCATTGCGCTTGTCGGCACGCCGCTCCCGAGCGCTGGGCCGCCGCTGCTCCTCCGCCTCCTCCTGGGCCGCCTGCTGCTGCTCCTCAGCGGCCGCCTGCTTGGCAGAGGGCTTGAGCTGCCGCCGGCCCCGCCCGTTTGTGGACAGCTGCGGGGATGTAGCAGCCGCCGCCCGCGCCGCCTCTGCCGCCTCCAGCATGCTCTGGACTGACTCGCCTTCCAGCTCGGCAACTGCCGCCACCGCGCCCGTGGACGCCGCCGCACCAGCATGCTCGCCGGCCTGCGCCGGCGTCTGTACGCTGTGCGCAGCTGCCTGCTCCGCCGCCAGCGGCACCGGCAGGGCCAGCGGCAGGGTGGCCTTGTTGAACACATACGCGGTGAAGCTCCTGCCGCTGCCTGCATAGAACGTTGGACCCAGCAGTGGGCAGGCAGGCACGCCAAGGTGGCTGCCTCCCATCCTTCCTTCTCAAACACACTGATTGGCTGCTTCTGTGTGGTGCCAGGGCAGGCAGCCCACCGCAGCCTCTCACCCGACATGCTGACTGAGAAGGAGCCCTCCAGCACCAGCTCCCCAAACCCAAGGTCCTCCATGTATTCCAGCGGGCACGTCCTGCGGGGACAGGCAAGGGGCGGGCGGGCAGGCACGTGAGCGGGGAGGGTGGCTGGCCAGCGAGCGCTGCCATGCGTGCAGCAGCCAGGCAAGGACGCCCAGCAAGGCCCAGCTCCAGCCGTCCGCTCTAGAGCAGCGTGCCCACCTGATGGCGCGCTGCACGACCGCCACCGACCGCAGCGTGCGCGAGGCGGCAAAGAGGCGGCCAAAGGCGGCCTTGCCCTCCACAGGCACGCCCTCCCAAAAGGAGTAGGCGTGGGTGCAGGGGTCCAGGCTGGCCACCTGCAGCAGCACACGCGGGCAGGCAGGTGGGCAAGGCGCGACAGGAAAAGAAGCAGCGGCAGATGGAGAAGGGAAGTGCAAGCCAGCAGGCGGCAGCTGCCATGCCGGGCCAACGACAGGTTGCCTGCGCTGTTTTTGCAACAGCTGCAAACCACAGCCGCAGGCCCTGGCCCATGCAGCTGCCAAGCACCTTCTCAATGGGGCTGCACTCAATCTGCGGCAGCACCAGGGCGTCTGCCCCCGCCACGCCCCTCCGCTGCAGCTCCAGCGTCGCCTGCCGCAGGAAGGCGACAGCCTTGTCACACTTGATGCGGTCTATCTCGATGCCGCGCGCCCCTGCAATGCCCGGCTCCAGCAGCGCATGCATCAGTGGCCTGCGCGGGCAGCAGCGGGTGGAAGAGGGGTGTGGGGGGCACATGGAGAGGGCAGGAGCTGAGCCGCGGTGAGTGCATCAGAGGAGGTATCATCTGCTGTGCCACATGCAGCCATGAGGCGCTACCTGCAGCAGCCCCCAACCCCACCATGCACCCACACAAGCCGTGGTTCAAGCGCCACTGGCACACAATAGCATCACTGAGGGCCCGCACCTGCCCAGGCCAGCGCCAATGTCCACCAGCACACTTCGCGAGTCGAGGCAGCACCTGCTGCGCAGGCACTCCAGCACCTTGTCCATGCCGCTCTTCTTGATGCTGCCGTACAGGCCCTCCACGCCCTCGCCGCCGCCCAGCTTGTTCTGCGCAGGAGGTTGGGGCGGGCAAGGATGGGGACAAGAGAGGCGGCGAGCTGGCCCACGGCGACAGGGCAGTTGCACAAACTTCATGCAGCACAGCTTTGATTTGTGACGTGTCCCTCGATAGTCCCACGGCGCCCGTCGTACCTCGATGCTCTGCATCACAGAGTAGAGGGCCTTGAGGCGAGCGTCTGCCGGCGGCGCCGCCACTGCCGCTCCGCCGCCCGCTGGTGCCGTCATGGGCGTGGTGCACTCCAAAACCACTGGCCACAAGCGCGGGATGCTGCAGGCCGGTGTTGGGCGCCTGGCTTCGCTTTTGGCGGCAATGCCAGTGGGCGGCCAACGGCTAAGCAAGCCGCAGGGCACTGCCGACGCCCCAAAACAATCCCTAAAAACTGGCAGCTGGACTGGAATGCAGGGCGGCGCGGGAAGATGGCTGGACAGCGCGCTGGCACTTTGAAAGTGGTCGCATCGCACGGGAAGAAACCAAGAACACTTGCGAGCGCGCTCGAGCGATCACAGTCAACCCCGGCGCCTCTCGGCACACGCCAGCTTTAAGAGGAGGCAGGGTGCGCCGGGTTGTTCACGGCAGCAGGGTCATGCAGACCTATGCCCTCTGCCCCTCGGCAGCACAGCCAGGCGTCGCCATGCGGCTGTGCGAGGTCCACTGTCGATCCACAGCCGTGCCTAGGTCCCGCGTAGTGCTGGCCGCCCGGCAGGGCGATCGGCCTGGCCGCGGCGGCGGCGGCGGCGGCGACGCGCCTCCACCGCGCTACTTCACTCCCCCCGAGCGCCTGCTCAGCACGGGGCCGGCACAGGTGGGAGGTGCTGCAGGAGCAGCGCCTTGCTGACCCTTGCTGCAGCAAGGCTCGTCCCTGCTGCGTTTCCGCACACTTGGCGCGGTGCAGCCTGACGCTCAAGTAGGCTGCCAGCCTGCCTGCCGGCCCCCTCAACCCAAGCTGCCGCTCCCCGTGCGAGCGCAGGAGCCGCGGCGCGACACCGTGTACACCCTGCGCGTGTCCACCGCCTTGTCGCGTGGCGCCTCCCTGACCGACCCTGCCGCCGGCGTGCTGGTGTGCCTGGTGGCGGGCGACGGGTCGGCGCTGCTGCGCCGCGTGCCGCGCATCAACGACCCCGAGCTGACGGAGCAGGAGGTGCGCGACATCTGCTCCTCCATCGACGACCGAGAGGCAGGCGCCAACTGCGCCGTGGCGCTGCACGCCGCCGCCAGCCAGCGGCAGAGCGGTGTGGGGCCGCGCCTGCGCTTCCAGGTGCGCGCGCCAGGCAGGCTGCCGGGCAGCGGGCGAGGGGCACCCCAGAGCACCCCGGGCTGAAGCAGGGCACACAGGAAGCCTGCAGCCGCATTATTTGCCTCGGTCGAGCACCTTGTGCATGGGCGCCTTTGCGTCGCACGCTCACATGCCTCCCCTACCCAAGCTGCTGCTGCTGTTGCTGCTCCTGCCTGGCCTGCGCGTGGTGCAGGAGGGGGCGGTGGACGAGGTGTCCTTCAGTGCGCCCGAGCTGGGCCCGCTGGCGGCGCTGATTGTGGGGCCCGAGCAGGGCAGGTGGCTGTGTGAGGAGGTGGACGTGTCCTCCAGCCGCACAGGCCACACCGACAGGCACGCGCCCGCCCCCGCCAGCCCCGCACCCGCCTGCTGCTGGTGCTCGGCCGGCTGTGTGGCTGGCTGGACGTGCCTGTTCCACCTGCTGTGCTTGGCCCCGCCGCTGCTGGTGTGAGTGCCGCCTGCCCTGTGACTCGGAGCGGTTCCCTGCTTTCGCGTTGTTGCAGGTTTGTGTGCCGGGAGTCGCTGGGCGAGGGCGGGCAGGCGGCCGCCTACCTGCTGCCGGTGCCGGCTGACGCTGTGGTGTATGGCAGCGGCGATGCGGCTGTGGCCATCACAAAGGCAAGCATGCCCCTGGCATCGCCGCCGGATGTGGGTGGTGCTTGTCTGTCATGCGGCCTCGTCTGTCGCAGCCACCTCCGTACCCCTTGCCTCCTCATCCACCTGCCCACGCTCACCTGGCTGCAGGAGCAGGCGGCGCATCTGTACAGCCTCAACATGCAGCAGTACAGCGAGCTGAAGGGCCAGCTGCTGGCGGCCACCGCGGTGCTGGTGGCGCTGGGCTCGGCGCTGGCATACGCTGCAGGCGGGCGCGACCTGGCGCTGCCCTTTGCGCTGGGCGGGGCCAGCGGCATGCTGTACCAATACATGCTGCAGGCAAGTGCGGGAGCAGTGGTTACCTGGCGGGGAAGAGGCGCAGGCCTGCCTTTGTGCGGGTCAACCAGCTCTGCTGCTCAACGGCGCCGGGTGTTCGGGGCTCAGCAGCCACCAAGAAAACTATGATGGCTGGTGGCTGAGCCGCCGCCCCTGCTCCCTTCCCATGCAGGCCGCCACTGACAGCGTGGGCCAGGGCAGCAGCCCGTACGCCCAGGATCAGGCGGAGTGGCCCGGCGCGGGCCTGTCGCTGCAAGGCATGCTGGCCAACCCGGCCGTCCGCCTGGCGATTGCAGCCGGCTTCCTCACAGGCATGTTTGGCGCGCTCCACTTTGGCACGGGCAGCGGCACTGCACAGGTGGGCCTGTGTGTCATGTGACTGCGATTGGATGGCCTGAGAGGGCTGCCTGGGTGGGCGGATGCAGAGCGCAGAGCTGCTGTTGAGCGAGCTCGCACCCTGCTGAAGAGCCCTGGGCGACTGCCTTCGCCCTGCCATGCAGGGTTCCGCTGCTTCTGCCGCCAACATGTTCCGGGTGCAGCAGATTGTGGCATCCCTGGTGGGCTTCCTGTGCTACAAGGCGGCGGTGGTGGGTGTGGCAATCATCCCGCCCCCGCTGGATGAAGAGCTGCAGGGCATTCTGCAGGCAGACGCCGGCAGCAGCAGCGGCGACGGCGGCCGCCGCAGCAGCAGCAGCAGTACCGGCGGCAGCAGCCCGCGCGGCTACTGAGTGGCGCCCCGGCATCAGCGCCTGGTGCTGCCTCGCCCCGCACGGCCTCTGTATTCGATACTACTCGTGTGTTGTACTCAGCTTGGCTTTCTCTTGCCTGCCCCATGTCCCTTCAGTATCCAGCACCCGCTGATGTCATTTTGATCCGACCTTTGTTTGTTTTGCCACTGCCCTTTCTGCCTTCCCACCAGTTGCTGTTGCCGCCGCATGGTGTGTGGTTGCTCTGGCCACATGCTCTGGCGCATTCGCATGTATCCCACAATTTGCTTTCTGCTCGCGAAAGTGGTGACAACAGAGCTGCTCATGGGGCACATGCCAACAGAAAAGACAAAGGCTTTGAGCACAACAGGATCAACAGCCTTTTAGCCTGTGGCAGGGATATGCGGCCAGCAGAGTACCAGCGAACTTAAGGATGCGGCCCAGAAAGCCTCCGGCAAAGGAGAAAGGGGGAGGGTGCGGCAACGAGAGAGATGCACGCACCTGCAGCTGGGGCAACTGCCACAAAAACAAAAAACAATGCCGTCATGGCTCAAGCAAGTTTCGCACCTTTGGCTGCGACGCACAGGGCCACGTAGCTGCTTGGAGAGCTTGTCAGTGAGTGGGGGGTGGCGGCACCGGCGGCGGCGCCAGTTGCTGTTGCTGTTGCTGCCCGATGCCCTGTCTGCGTTAAGGGAGGCAGCGCAGTGTTCCAGCGCATTATTGAACACCCTGCAGTCCAGCCGGAGTGCTGGAAGCTCGGGTTTACCTTCACTGCGAGCCAAGCCGACAGCAAAAACGCAACAGCCACCACGGGCGTCGCTTGCGCACGATTTATTTTCATCAAGGAGTAGCTTTACCGATAGAAATGCTGCAAGGGACGGTTGGGAGGATGGATGCAAGGCGGCACCCGCCACAGCGCGGGAAGCGCACGCGCCGTCCCGACGCGTTTCCGCTTTCTTAGCCATTGGTTTAAACTTTACAGTGGCATCTATCATAAATTAACAGAGGCTATGATGTCCATTGATGATAATGATGTCAGGACACGGCAGCCATGCCTTCCTCCTACTCTGCTTGCTGCGGCTGCTGCTCCAGCAGCGACTGCTGCACCGCCACCGCCTCCAGAGCCAGCGCCTGCGCCTCGTGCTCCTCCACCTCTCCGGTCGCCATGAGCCGCTCATACTCGGCCTGCACCGCCAGCTCCACAGCCAGCTTGGCGGCGTGCACTGCCAGCTTGGCAGCCTGGTCGGGGCCAGCTGCGGCGCCTGGAGCAGCGCCCGGGTGTGGGCCGGCGGCCTGCTGCTGCTCATGCTGAGCCTCCTGCATCATGCCTCCCGCGATGGCTGCATCAATCTCCACTTCGGCCGCCCGCATGATGGGGCCCTCAGCAGCTGGCTGGCGGCTGGCAGCATCCGAGGAGGCTGAGCCGGACGGAGGGGCTGCCGCCGCTGCCAGCTCAGCTGCATGGGGCCTGAAGGCCTGCTGCTGCATGCCCCTGAGCTGCTGCTCCAGGTTGGCCAGCATTGGCTTGATCATTTGGCCAAACGGAGTGGACAGCACCTCGGCAGGCAGCCCTGCGGCAAGCGAAGCAGCAGCACATGGTAGGAGCATCGATGCCACACCCTGCCCGGAGCAGCAGCACGCAGGAGCCAGAGCGACCAGCGCTCTTCAACCTTCGTCCCGCCACCCCACCCACACGCCCACGCCCACCACCACCACCACACCACCGGCGCCCACCCGTGATGTGCTCCGGGATGCCGCGCCCGCAGAGCAGCTGCGCCAGCTCGTGGCTGAAGTTGTTGCAGTTGTTGTGGAACAGGGAGTATGCCTCCGGGGTGAAGCGCTCGCTCAGCTCCGCCAGCAGCTCGGCGCGCAGCTCCTCGGTGATCTCGGTGCGCCTGCAGGCAGGCCAGCACAGCAGAACAGAGGGCCATGTGGTGAGCGTCAAACAAGAGGAGCGGGCTGGCAGCTGCGGACTGCTGCGCTCAAGCTTCATGACGGAACAGGGGCTGCTGCAAAAAGACGAAGTGGTGCTTGTCCCGAGGGCGGAGTGCACGACTGCAGCAGGGCGAGTGGGGCCCCTCGGCTCACCCCAGGTCCAGCACTTCCATGGGCTGGCCGAACGGGGTGGAGCCGGCGCGTGCCACGTTGATGCCGCCGCCAAAATAGTGCTCCATGCCTCCCACCACGATGGAGGTGTGGTAGATGGCCTCGATCTGCCACACAAGGAGGGCGCGAGCGGCAGGGGGTCGGCACCGGGCTGGCGGATGCACCGCAATTGCTGGCCGCGCTGATGCAGCAGCAGGCCCCGCCACCATGCACGACGCCTCTCCCGCCCCACACCCACCTGGCGGCCCAGCAGCATCTGGCTCAAGGACCGGGCCATCCCTCCGCTTAAATCATAGATGTACAGCTGGACGAGATCCCCCATCTGGCCAGCCATAGCTGCCAGTTCTAGAAGGTAGCTTGACCGCCGCGCTAGCGCCGCTGGAGAGCTCGTTGAGCAGGACCTGCCGCTCTGACTTGCGGCGCTGGTCTCACCGAGTGGAGTGCACGAGTGCAGTGGGAAGAGAGGCGTGATCAAGCGGTCTTGGGGCAAGAAGCGGGGCCTGGAACGTGGCTGCTGTTGCAGCGCTTGAGGGTTTAAGTCTTGCTGCAGATGAAGCAGAGGAGGGCGGCAGCTTCAAGCAGGCCTGGATGGATGGTCACGCAGGGATCACCTGAGCCTTCTGCCCTGCTAGCGCCACCCATGTGGCGGCGGGGGCCTTCCTCCGAATTTGCGCGCGCATGGCGGCACCAGCATGCAACTCTATTTGCTCGAAATTCTGTATCAGCAGATTGAGACTTGCAGCGCCCCAGCAGAGCAGAAAGTGAAGTGATCCCCGAGCTCCGACACGTCCCGACAGCGGTCATGGCAACAGAGCAGATCCGGGTGGCGGTGGAGACGAAGGTGAGGTCGCCGTGATCGATGTTCAGCCTGGTTGCCAGCAGCCAGCAGACCAACTCTAGTACAGGTGCACACCGCGCGTCGTTCGCCTCCGTCAGCAGCTCCGCAGACCGAGGTGCAGACGCCATGCATCGCGGCAGGAAGACGGGATGGGGTGGGCAGCGGAGGGAGCGGGAGCGGGTGGCAGCGGCGTGGGCTCACGCCGCCGGTGCCCTCTCCGCCTCTTGCGCAGGACCGCGTCGCTCAGCACAGCCACGACCATGACCCCTTTGCCCACCACGTCCTAGACGCCCCTGTAACAGAGGCGGTGGCCGAGCTGACGGATGTGGCGCCGGAGTTTGATGCTGGCATGCTGCCCAACCGAGACCACCTGGAGGCTGCCCTGGATGCTAAGGCGAGCTGCCCCTTCCTGCTGCTGCCTTTGTTCTTACTTCACTGCAGTCTACAAGCCGCACCAACAGCATGGCATTCACTCAGCTGGTGAGGTGCATGATGCCGAGGCTCTACCACCCGTCCCCTCCGTCTGCAGGACCGGCTGGCGGCCCATGGCGTCAGGATGCCCGAGGATGAGGCGGTGTGGCGGGAGGAGCTGGAGGAGGCGGTGCAGGGCCTGCAGGCGTGAGCCGCGGGCTGCCTGGCTGATGGCATCCCCCATAGGCAGCCGAAACCAGGCACACCCCCGACTGCAGAGCCCCCGTTTTGAGTACGCTGCACTAGGACTCGTTTCCAGCGCCCCCGCTGCTTTTCGTGAGCCACCCCACTTTGCTCCACTTAAGAACAGGAATGCCCTGGCACTGAAGCCCGCACCCCTCACCCATGCTTGTGAATCTGTTAAATGGCTGGGGAGGGAAGCCCATGCAGTTTGTGTTTGGAATTTGTATGTGGATGAATAGAGACGAGAGTAAGCAAAAATGTTTGAAGGGTCAGGATGCTGGCTGTACAAAAAGCAGGGCAGCGAAAGCAAGGCAGGAAAGGCCGATTGAGGAAACGAGCAGAGGCAAGGCAGTACACATGGCAGGCAGTACATATGCAAGGGGTTGACTGTACACGGGCGCTGCGCTGGGCAGAGGAGGGCTAGCATGCTTGAGCAGTGCGTCAGTGGCTGCCTCAAATGCCGGCATTGCCATGCTTGCCAAAGGTCCCCAGCAGGCCGCCCCCCACCGGGCCAGACAGGCCACCCAAGCGCTGGCTGGCTCGCTTGGCAGGGCTGTTGTGCAGCTGCTGCTGCTGCTGGTCGGGGGCAGCCGTCTCTGCCTGGGCGCGCTTGCGGGTGAAGGTGACGGCCGTGGGACGCATGCTGGCGCCTGCAGGCAGCTTGGCCAGCACGCTGCCTGCAGAGTCGTGGTGCGGCTGCCTCAGCCTGGGGGGCAGCGGCTTGGCTGGCTTGCCGTTGGCAGCGTCCGCTTCTGCGGAGGGGCCTGCTAGCTGCTGCTGCTTGGGTGCGGGGTCGGGGGCTGCTTCCGCAACAGAGCGCTGCGCGCCCCGCGGCTTCTTGGCATGATGCCCCCCTGCTTCCTCGCTGCCCTCTGCGCTGTTCCTGTCCCCCAAGCCTTCGCTGCCGTTGGCTGCTGCCGCTGCTGCAATCGCTGCCGCGGTGGCTGCCTTGGCTGCCGCGGCGCGGGTGCCGGCGCCGTGGGTGGTGCCGTTGGCGGCGCCATTCTGCTGGCCGCTGCTGGCGCCGCCGTTGATGACGACATAATACTCCAGCGGCCGCTTGCGCAGCGGCAGCAGGCCCACCCTGCAGGCCGCAGAGCGCCGGCGCGGCAGCAACGGGGTGTGGGTGCGCCGGGGCATGGCGAGTGAGGGTGCTGGTGCTGGCATGCCGCACCAGACTAGCCCTCCCCGGGCAACAGCAGCGACACAGGCAGGCGTGGGTGAGGCTTAGCAAGCTGGGCGCTCCCCCCCACCCCCACCACACACCTCCTGTCCCTGCCCCCACCCACCTTCGCTTCAGGCGGTCGATGGAGGGCCGGCACTCCTCCCCCAGCTCCGCCTCTACCGCCCGCACCGCGCTGGGCGTCAGGTCGCGGCCCCACCCCATGCCCGAGCTGCGGCGCTGCCGCGCCAGCTGGCCCTCGTGGTCTGGGTGCCCGTCGTGCGTGGAGAACTTGCCCGCCCAAGGCCCCGGGGCAAAGCTGACCTTGCGGCGGGCCAACTCCTCGCGCTGGCGCTGCGCGTGCCGCGTGTTGTGCTCGTGCTCGGGGAGCGGCGGTGCCGCCGGGCTGGCGGCGCCATCCTGCCGCTGCGCCTGCTGCAGGGCGGCGGGTGCAGGACCTTCTGCTGCGGCTGCACCAGCGGTGGCGGGGGCTGGCGGCCAGTCGGCGTCCCGCTGGCGCTGGCGTGTGCTGCGGTCCTGCAGGCGTGGTGCCTCCTCTAAGAGCGGCTGCTGCTGCTGCCGCTCGTGGCGCATCTCCACAGCGCCTGATGGCGCTGCTGCTTCGCCGCAGGGGCTGCCACTGCTTGCCTGGCGCTGCCATTGGCGGGCTCTATGAGATCTGTGGCGGGCTGCTGCTGCTCGGCCTGCTGCTGCCGCAGATGCGCCGAGGTCCGAGGCGACAGCGGCTCGGCAGGCAAGGCTGTGCTAGTGCAGGCAGCAACAGCACCATCCTGCTGAAGCACCGTGAGCCGGGGTGGGCTGGTGGGCGATGCTGGGCGCGACGCGGCAGGCGATGCAGGTGCTGCCACTGCCTCGCCCCTCCTGTGTCGCAGGCTGTGCGCCGGCGCCGGTTGCACCGCCGGCAAGGCGGCAAGCTGGCAGTTTGCCGTGGTGGCCTGCCCTGCTGGTTTTCCCTCCACCGGGCGCTGCCCGAGCTGCCCCTGGCTCATACCGTCGCCCTGCCGTTCAGCAGCGAGGTTGGGCAGGCGGCGGCACGTACGGCCTGCATGCAAAGCGCTGCTAGACCCCAGGCTTGGGGTGAACTGTGCAGCCGATGGCGCCAGAGGCGGGCTAGAGGGGCAATCGGCGAGGTGCTTTGACGAGGGAGTCCTGTTTTTGCCTGACCGTTTGCGGGGCACCTCGTGCAGTTCCCAGATGACAGCCAGGAGAATGTGCTTTGTGAGAGATGGCCGGGAAGCGCAGGAGTGGGCCTGGTGCAATTTTTTGCCCACTGGAAAGCCCGCTTGATCAGGAATGCGCTTGCATTGATGAATCGCAGCCTGTGTCATCACACACAGATCACACCAGCACCTGCAAGCTCGGCCCAGGGCTCCCCAGTCTCGGCAACACACTCTTGGCCGCCCGGCCTGCGCAGCTTGTAGCCCTCTGCTAGCCAGCACAGCCGCTCGGTGCAGCTGCTTGCCATCGACCGATTGCACGGACCGCCCCACCTTGGGTTGTCAATTCCCCTTGTGGCATGGCGCTGGCTAGACACAGCAGCCTGCTGCTGGGCAGGTCGCTCTCTGCAGCGCAGCAGCAGCAACTACGCGGCGCAGTGGTGAGCGGGAGCAACATGCGTCCCCCGCGGCAGCTGGCGGCTGGCGGCAGCGGCGGCACGGTGCGCAATCACTCAACGTTGTGTGCTGCCCTCCTTGTTGCAGGATGCGGCTCGACAAGCGTGTTGCTACAGCGCCGATGCTGCAGCCGCCAGTACCGCTGCCATGGAGCCCAGCAGCCAGGCAACTGCAGCAGATGCGGCGGCAGCGGCACCCGCTTGGGCTTCCCACTCTGGCGTCAAGACGCTCGACGGGCTGCCCATGCCCAGCTGGATAGTGGCGACGCCCAAGCCGAAGCGGGCGCCGGTGGGGCTGCAGGTGCGGAGAGGGCTGCTGCTGCTGCTGTTGTTGTTGGGAGCGGGAGCCGTGGGTCGACGCCCGCCGCTGGTGCGCTTGCGGCAGGCATGTGCTACCTGCCGCGCCTCGCCCGCAACCCGACCTGCGTGGCGGCTGCAGGAGGCGACCCGGGAGGTGCAGTCGCTGGCGCGAGCCAACTTTGATGAGAGTGTGGAGCTGGCCATCAAGCTGGGCATTGACCCTCGGCGGGGCGACCAGGTGCACAGGGAGGTGGTGTGTGTGCGTGTTGTGGGGGCTGCCCCACCTGGTCGCTCTGCTGCCATGCCACGCCAGCATTCTTTACCACCGGAAGGCGAATTTGACGGGTGTTGAGGGCATGGTGGCGGTGCCCCTGGGGCCCTCGGCTCGCCGAGGCAGCACAGCTCGATGGCAGGGCTGGGCCTTGCGGAGCATCAGCAGGCATCCACCCCGCTGCACCCGACACACCTGCCCGCCTGCCTGCCTGGCTCCCCCTGGCGCGCTGCAGATGGTGCGCGGCGCGGCCACGCTGCCACACGGCACCGGCAAGTCGGTGCGGGTGTGCGTGTTTGCAAAGGGCGATGCGGCGCAGCAGGCGCAGGACGCAGGTGGGCGGGCGGGGGCCGCGACGCGCATTCCAAGCCGCCCGCCGCCTGCGGCCAGCCCAAACCCAGACCTCCACGCCACCGCTCCCGCTGCTGGCAGCCGTTGTTTGCCTTGGCCAGCCCCGCGGCTCCCGACCATTCTGGTCCCTGCTGCCGCTGCCACTGCTGCAGGGGCGGAGGTGGTGGGGGACGAGGACCTGGTTGCTCGCATCCTCGAGTCTGGCGGCGGCGGCCTGCAGTTTGACAAGTGCATCGCCACCCCCGACATGATGCCCAGGCTGAGCAAGGTGCGGGCCGGCTGTGTGGGCGCTGGCTGGCGTTGGTGGGGTGGTGGCGGGTGGGGCTGTGGGGAGCGTGGATGTCTTGACCGTGTACCGTGGGTTGGAGTGGAGTGAGGGCATGGTGCAAGCGGGAAGGGCCCCCCTACTGTACCAGGATCCATCATCTGTGCTTCCTAGCCTGGCTGACGCCGGTGATCAGCGTGCTCCAGGAGCAGCCGCATGCCACCTGGGCGCCTCGCCGCCCCCTCACCTGACACCCCCCTGGCCCCACCCCTCCCTGCCCGGCCCCTGCTTCGCCTCCTCCTCCCCACCGGACTCCTCCCGCAGGTGGCTCGCATCCTGGGCCCCCGCGGCCTGATGCCCAACCCCAAGATGGGCACAGTCACCGACAACGTCGCCGCCGCCGTCAAAACGATGAAGCAGGGCCGGGTGGAATTTAGGTGCGGTGGTGTGTGTGGTGTGTGTGGGTGGATGCCGGCTGGCAGCCATGCGGAGCGCCTGCGCTCAGGCTGCGCTGCAGCTGCTGCTGCTGCTGCTAGGACAGAGCAAGCACAGGCTGCCAGCTGGCCTGCAGTCTCGGCAACCCAGGGTGTGGCCTCCCTGCACGCTCGCGCCACGCAGGGCGGACAAGGGCGGCGTGGTGCACGCGGGGCTGGGCAAGTGCAGCTTCGCGGCGGAGGCGCTGCACAACAACGTGGGCGCCTTTGCGGCGGCCATCCTGGCGGCGCGGCCCAAGGGCGTCAAGGGCGGCGCGGCCAGCGGCTACATGATAACCGCCGCGCTCAGCAGCAGCATGGGCCCGGGCATACCGCTCAACGTGGCCAGCCTGGTGGCTGCGGCGCAGGCCACCAAGGCCAAGATGGAGGGCTAGGGCTGCGGCAGCTGGGCGCTGGTCCCATTGGCGTGGCCCTGTTGTGTGGCTCAGGCGCCGGCCCGGCGCTCTCCCTGCTTGTCCTTACACCGCATAGTTTGCAGGCTGTAACGAGTCGGCAGTTCGTACCGCTGATAGCAGACAGCACAAATACACAAATCGGGCCAGCACGCCCAGCACGCTCGGACCTATGCACTGTACGAGTTGATGCGCACGGTTAGGCGCCGCGCTCCATTGCCTCTGCGTCCTCGTGCTCCCTTGCCTCTGCGGCCCCGCTGCTGCCCGGGCACGGCAGCCAGACTTTGCGCAGCCTGTGCGCCGCTCAGCACGGCACCCAGCGCCGCCGCGCTGCACTCTGGCAACTCCCAGGCAGCAGCTGTATGCTGGTCGAGCGCCAGGCGGAGGAGGCTGGTGCTGTCGCGCTGCAGGCACCGCCGCAGCTCGCCCAGCGCCTCTGCTTCCAGGCCAGGCCAGCGCTCTCCGCGGCGGCCCCTGCCAACCATCCAGGCAACCGCAGCCAGGGTTCCTGCCAGCAGCAGGCGCCCTTCAGCCACACCAGCGCTCACAGGCGTGCCGTCAGCCGGGTCTTGGTGTGCCGTCAGGGCTTGCGCCGCCTCCAGGAGGGCCCGCACATACTGCAGACGCTGCTGCTCATGCTTGTCCCAGCTCACGTGTGCGTGCTGCCGCCAGCGACACTTGTCCCACAACTGCACATACTCGAGACACGAGGGGCAGCCTGCCAGCAGCAGCGCCAAGGCTATCTGCAGCGTGTGAGCCATGGTGGGCGCCGCCGTGGCGCCCCTCGCCAGCTCAGCTGCCAGGCTGGCGCCGCCGCCAGCTGCTGAAACCAGGGTTATGGCCGCCGAAGCAGCCAGGTGTTGGCAGTAGCCCTGCCGCAGCAGAGGCACCAGGGACGGCGGGACAGCCACCCCAACCTGCCAGGGGTTAGGGAATGGGTGGTCGCGTCTCGAGCTGCTGCTGACGCTGAAGAGCTGAAGAAGGAGGTCAGTGGCGGGCCTGGCGCTGGCAGCAGCCGGAATTTCCGCTGCAGCTGATGCCTCCTGGTGCTCTGCTGCAGCGGCATCCAGCAGGGGCTCCATGAAGCGGGACAGGCTGCTCCGAACAGCGCTCAGCTTGTCCTGCTTGGAAGCGCTGGAGTCAGCGAAATGGACAAAATTAATGCCTTGCACCAACCTGCATCAGACCAAGAGCCAGGCATAGCCACAGCCATGAAGCAAATAAGGTTGCAATGCGTGCTCATTACCCACACCGCAAGCCTGCTCCGGCCATCCTGTGGCAAGGGCCCAGCAGCACAGCAGCGTACCTGCACAGCAGCCAGACGGCAACCAGCGAGCCGTCCCCTGGGGCGCTTGCCGCCAAGCCTGCAAGGGAGTCCAGAAGGCACCCAAGCTCTGCTGGGTGGTCCTTGTAGGCGGCAAACACTTCGGAGCCGCCCAGCTCCCCTGCCCAGCTCTTGGTCAGCTCCTTGTCATCGCTGGCCCTGCAGGGTGGAGGGGAGCAACAAGCGTGAGCCACACGGCAGAACTGCCAACTAGACAGCACATGGGACATGCATCAGCATGGGGCTGCTCCACCTCAGACAGAGCATTAGCAGTTGCCCCACCACAGCATCGCTCACCGCCTCAGCATGCCCAGCACCAAATCGGTCCACCAGCGGGCAACAGACTGCGACCGCTTCAGCAACTCTGCGTCCGCACAGCCAATGACGTCGGCGCCCACCTGTGTGCTCAGCAGGCCGGGAAGGCAGTGTATGGCGGGCGTCAATGGCAAGGAACGTGCCGCGGCAGCCACTGGTCCCACTGTGCCGTCATGACAACTGTCCCACATGCCTTTTGCGAAGGCAGCGCGGGGCAAAGCTGAGAGCAGGCACAGATCTCCCACATGTGCAACGTACCTCTTTGTCGTGCAGAGCCGCGCACTGCTCCCAAAACTGCGCCACCTCGCGCAGCGCGCACAGCGGCGCCGTCGCATTCAGCAGACCGCAGCGCATGCTGGGCGTGAGGTCGGAGCGCCGCATCTCGCCATACACGAGCTCCAGCGCCTGCAGGCAGCCCGGCAGGAAGCTGGGAGGTCTTGAATGCCTTGAAAGCCAGGCATGTCGCATGGTGCATTTTACCCTGGGCGCCTGGCAAAGGGAAGCAGCCTCGGGCGCTGCAGCCTGCTTGCCTGGGGGCTCCCTCGCTCCAGCAGCAGCGCCACCACCTGCTGCCAGGCCGCAGTGCGCAGCCCCGCAGTGGACAGCAGGTCCTCCCCCAGCTCCGCCAGCTCCCCGTCTGTCAGGAAAGCAGCCAGGCGCCGCAGGGCAGATGCCGCATGCGTGGCGGCGTCACACGTCAGCTGCAGGCGTGGCAACAGAGCAAGGGAAAGGTGACAGGCGACGGTTCGGGCAAACGGCAAGCGGCGACTGCCAAATGGAAGGCAGGCACGAGATGCCTTGCTGGCCTCGCCACCTGTGCGCCCACCTTGCTCTGCAGGAAGTGCGCTGCCTGGCGCTTGTCGGGTAGCAACGAGGCTGCCAGCAGGCAGGCCGCCGTCAGCTGAGAGTCGTCCACCAAAGGCTCCAGCTCAGCGACCGTCGCATCCTGCACGGCGGATAGACAAGCTGGGTCACATCGCAGTGGCAAAGAGAGCAGGCCAGCATGCAGGCAATAGGTGCAGCTGCCAGCGGCATTCCAGTCCACCATGATTGCGGCAAGCCAGCCTGGGCGCCAGCCGCAGCCGACCCTCACCTGGAGGCGCAGGAGCAGGCACACCGCCGCAACCCTGGCGCCAGCATGTGCCGAGGCCTCCCCGGCGACAGCGCTGGCCAGCTGGCGTAGCTGGGCCTGCACCGCTGGCGGCCAGCGGCGGTAGTCGGCGCTGCCCATCTCCCGCTTGACGTCCCAGAAGGTGCTTCCATCGGCGCCGCCCACACGATAGCCCGCCATTGCTGCCTGCATGCCCTTCAACCGGCTGTCCGCTGGCGCAGACAGCACCTCGGCCAGAGCGGCGCTGCAGGAGCCAGGCAGGCGGGGCAACACAGGGCCAGGCAACGTTGGTTGCGCAAAGCACAAGTACGCAGCAGACTCACGCTCGCTGCATCTCCACACCCACCTGTCATACTCAGGCAGCACACCGTACAGCTTCTCGCTCCAGAGCCGCTCACGGAGCAGCGCCTGGCACAGGGCGCCGCTGCTGCCGCCCCGCTTCAGCAGCCGCCGGCACAGGGCTGGGTGCTGCTCCACCAGGGCTTGCAGCACCTGGCGGTGGGAGAACACCAGCTCGCGCCACCAAAGCGCGGCAGGCGGTGCAGGCTCGTCTGCAGCAGGAAGCGGACAGGGGGTGGATATGGATATGGTATCGGAACGCGCTGAGGCAGATCCCTGCTGCGGCTGCAGCAGCTGCCAGGTGCACACAAATGCAGGTGCTGCCGGATGGTGGGCCAACCTTTGCTGTCACCCAACAGCCAGCGCGCACAGAGCTCCAAGTTGATGAAGCGCAGCATGGCGGCCTTGCCTCCAGGCAGCTCCAGCAGGGCCTGCACAAAGCAAGGCGTTGGTGAAATGATGAGCGGCTGGTGCAGCACACATTCCACGCAAGGGCGGTGCATGCTAACTAAAGTGCGGGGCGGGGCGGCGCAATCACCTTGGCGCGGTGCAGCCCAGCCTCGCCATCTGCGCTGCTCAGCCACCAGGGCATGCAGCTTGCCACCCAGCCCCCCTCTCTGCCTTCAGCTGGAGCGCTGTGAAAGAACTGGCCGACCCGGCCCCTGCCTCCCCTGCCGCCCCTGCCCCCAAAGGCAGTGCGCATTTGATGCCTGCTGCGCTGCGGGCCGCCGTCATAGGGCGATGGCCGTTCGGCAGGCTGGCCGGGCTGCGCGCCCCACCGCGACCGAGGGAAGCTCCTGCGCAATGCCGCCTCCACAGCTGCCACCAGCTCAGGCATCTGCCGCAGCGGCTGCAGCGCCCGCACATTCGTGCCCGCTGTCAGGGCTCCCAGCACCGCATTGGCGGCACCGCGCTGGCCAGCTGCCTTGTACAGCGGCAGCAGCTCTGCCAGCAGCGTGCGCACCGCGTGCAGCAGATCCGCGCTGGAAATGAGGGTGTCCAGCTGTAGCGCTGCATCCAGCACTGCTGGAATGCACACGTTGCCGCCTGGCTCAAACGAGGAAGAGGAGGAAGTGGAGGAAGAGGCGGAAGGAGGCCAACTGGGCCTCTCAACCCCCTGAAGAGTTTCGGTGCATCCCAACCACGGCGCAATTCAACGGAACCGCCGCTCCCACCATGGCGTTTGGTGGCCCAACACCACCTGGCCGAACCACTTCACCCACAAGCCCCTCCAGCTGCGTTGGGGCAGGGCAACGGGGCACCTCGGTGGCAGGCCGCATTTCAACGCAACAAGCACAGACACACCACACCTACCGCGTGGCATGCAGCATTGCCCACCTGTTCTACAGAGCTGCTGCCGCCGTCCGGCGCCTCCAGCACACCGGCCACCGCCGCCTCCAGCAGTGGCACATGCTCGTCGCGCAGCCGCGGCAGCAGGCCGCCCTGCCACTCGCTGCCCTCGGCGGGCTGCCAGCCGCAATGTTTGTAGAGCGCGCTCAGCACCTGCAAAACAGAAGCAAAAAGTGCGGGTGGCATTCGCAAGGGTAGGAGGTTGCTCATTCTATTGCTCACAGTGGTTGCTGGAGGCATGGGGGCACCGTGCCTCCAGGGATTGGATTGCGGTGACCGCAATCCAATCCCTGCGTCACGCCACTTCAGCAGCCTGGGTTCCTTGTGGCTTCCAAGTCCCAGCAGGCGGGCAGGCTGACTCACCGCCAGCCGGACAAAGGCGCGCTCGTTGCGGGTGCGTGACAGCAGAAAGGGGACCACCTCATTCACCGCCTCTGCATTGCCCGGCGGCACTTCCTCCTCCAGCGTGCGCCTGTAGAGGCTGGCTCGCTCATCCGCCAGCGGCTGGTTGGTGCGCAGCTTGGCCAGCACGGCAGCCCGGTGGGCGGGCTCCCACAGCAAGTGGGCTCGCAACCTGAGGAGCAGCACGGCAGGGCAGGCAGGAGTCGATGGCACGACGGGCTCGCGGGAGATCGGTTTGCAGTGGCCAGGCACGACGTGAGCGCCTGCCAACAAACAGCCACCCCAGAATCTGCCATCCACGCGGCAGGCGAGGGACGCGCCATCCCCATGCGCTTCTTGCGCCATTCCCACGCACACTCACCGGCGCAGCACTTCCACCTTGCTCCAGCCTACCCCGCCATCAGCGGCAGCAGCGCCGCCTGCTGGCTGCCCTCCGCCATACTTGCCCATCAGCACACCGACACCGCCAACCAGCGCCTCGACGGGCCAGCAAGCCGCCGGCACACAAGCCAGCGCATACTCGTCGCTGGCGGGCCAGACACGCCAGGGATGCTGCTGGTGCGCCTCCTCATTCATCCGACCGCTCAAGAAGAGCTTGTGGTCGGCCTCTGCCGCGGCAATGCCTGCCAGCAGCGCCTCGGTGGCTGCGGCATCCGGGGCGGTGGCCAGGCGTGCTACGCGCAGCAGCTTGAGGCCGTCACAGACCTCGTCCAACTGACCGGTGGCGCCGGCGATCCTGCCTGAAGGCAGGAGCACAGTTGTGGGCACATGTGGGCAGGGAGCAGCACAGCAGCCTTGCACATTGTTGGGGGAAACAGTGCAACCCGTCATGCATGCCGGCGATGGAACCCATCCAAGTGGGAAGCGGGCTTGCCTTGCAGGGTTGCCTGCTGCAGCACACGAGACAGCAGGCCGCGACGGTGCAGGCGGTACGCCCAGCGCATCATGCTGCGTCCGTCAGACTGCAGCACCTTCATGCACAGCGCCGTGGCCGTCGCGGTGCCGGCGGCGCTGTCAGGTGCAGGCCCCTCTTGCAGTAGTAGCCGCATCTGCTGGCGGGCATGGTGCCTGCAAGGTGGGCCGCCACGCGGTCGCACATAAGAGGGTGAAGGGCGGCGTGGCACCATCTCAAGACCAATACTGTCTGCCCTGGCTGCCATCAGCGGAAACAAAGCTGCATGCCTAAGCTGCTGCCGGTCCCCTGCCACGCACCCGGCAAACAGCGATCCCTTGGTATTCTCCCTGGCCAGCCTGCCATCCAGCGCGCGGTGATGGTGACCCCACTGCTTCTCCAGCTGCTTGCAACACTCCTCTTGGCTAATCAACAGGGCCTCTGCCGCCGCCGGCCCGCAGCTGCCGTGCAGCAGTGCCAGTACTGCGCGCCGCAGCTGCAGAACAGGGAGGCCGGCAGCGCAGGGGAGCAGCGCGCCGGCTCACCTCTTGCTGGTGCGAGTCCGGCAAGGGGCGGCAGCCGCGGCAGGCAGGCACGCAGGCGGGGAGCCAGGCAGCCAAGGAAGCCAGGCAGCCGGACGACAGAACAGGTGCGGGAATCAGGGGAGGGAGGCCGCACCATCATGAGGGCGCTGTACGCGTGGCCACCGGGGCCAGGCTCCACCTCCCGCTGCACCCTGCCCCACAGCTCCCGCAGCAGCTCCAGCGCCAGCACGGGCCGCGCCACAGCCAGGCGCTTCCAGGCCTGGCGGGCCCAGGTGGGCACCCGGCCTTGCACCCCCTGCACGTGGAAAGCAAGTAAAAACAAGTAGAGCGCCAGGTAGAGGCAGCCGCCTTGGTGCTTGCCTGCATGGTTGGCAGGCCCCGGGCCCGAAGCCTGCCCAGAGGGGCTCCAGGGAAGGCAGCCAAAGCCAGCCACAGGCAGCAGGCGGCACCCACCTGGCGTTCCACCAGCTGCTCCCGCAGCAGCGGCGCCAGCTCGGCGTCGGCCTGCTCCCCCGCGTGCCGCACCAGGCGCAGCGCCGCCTCCACCCGCCCCTCTGCCAGCAGCGCGGCAAACAGCGCGGCGCCCAGCTGGCGCGGCGGCAGCCGCCCCAGGCGGGTGAGGAAGTCGTTGCGGTGGGCGGGCGGCGCGGCGTGCAGCAGCCAGTCCAGCAGCTGGGCCGTGCAAGCGGGGCCTGGATCCATCTGGCACAGCAGCGGGCTGGCTGCCTTCCACACCCCGGCATCGCCGCCCACCAGCACCCCAAGCACAAGGTCGGCCCTGCCTGCCAGGCGAGCCGCCAGCAGGCCGTGCGCCCTCAGTTGCGCCTGCGGCTGGCTCAGTAGCGCCTCGGCGGTGGCGGCAGCATCGGCGCCGCTGCTGCGCAGGTGGCTGACCAGCAGGGAGGCGCCAGCGCCCCTGCTGGCATCCATCAGGCGTGCCACCAGCGCGCCGTCGGCCGGACTTGAGGTGCCGGGCGCAGCGGCAGACGCGGCGCCGGCCCCCTCCTCGCCTCCAGACGGCAGCATGATGCGAGTAAATCAGGTGCAGATGAATGGACCAGGGAGTGAGGCAGCCTGTATGGAGGCATGAGGGTGGCAGTGGCCTCAGCCGGCGTTCTCAGCGGCAGCGGCTTCATGGCTGCGTGCCAAGCGGCGGCAGAGGAGCGGTGCCGGCACTGGCAACTCCCTGCGGACCTTTGCGCCGTGCCGCTTAGCGGAGCGGCCTCACCTTAGATCGCCCTGTACAGTCTGAAGCAGCGAGGAGGCGTTGGGTTGCGGAGCGCTAAGAGTGTTTACAAGACAAGTCTGGCAGGCAATCGCTGTCGCAGGGCTCCGTTGCAGTAGGGTCAAAATGGAGCGGGAGCGAGTGCTGTAAACTCTGAGCTGCTCCTCTTTCAACAACGCGGCCAAGTCCCAGCGGGAACTGTACTGCAATTTTGTATTGGCGCCGTCACCGCCGCTATGTGGAATCCCAGGCATTCACTTATGCACTTAAGTACTGTAGATGCAATTGGACCCTGGCAGACGGTTCCATATTGACGGACACTTACAAGCAAGATGA